AATGTTTTTCTGAAGGCCAGGTCTGGCATAAGGGTGCCCACTGCCTGGTCCTGCCTGAATTTATGGAAACGCAGCCCTACTATTATCAGGTTATGAGAACTGCTGGGCCATATACGCAGAATAGAGCACAGAAGGACAGCATGGGAATGAAGAAAACAACTCTAAAAAGAAAAATTCCTGATGCAGATGCTGGAAATGTCTTGGGAAAGCTGCATCTCTTACACAAAGGCTGCAATGAGGAAATGCTTTCTGTGGCAGGTGGTCCTGTCAAGCACAAGGTCTGTCTCCACATGGCGCTACCTGACTCCTCTCCACTCTACCTGCACTCGTAGCGTTGGAGCAGAGCGCTAGAGAGCGAAGGGGGATGAGCCCACAACGACAGCTGGCTGCCACCCGCACAGGGAGAGTGTGAGATCACACCCTGACTGTGGCCAGAGGAGCTAAATCCTCCCGATGTACATGGGATCCATGGTCAAGCACAACCCATTCTCATTCAAACCTGACCCTCTCCCCTGAGCTCCCTGCTGTCAGTTCAAAACAGACTCCAAAAAAAGGAGAATTACTCCTGAGGTTCTGAGATTCCTCCATCTGTGCTCATGACAAGGAAGCCTGGCTTCCTGCTTCAACATGGACTCATGTTCAAATGAAATATTCCTGAAGAAAAGTGTCATGAACCAATATATACATATATATATATATATATATTTCTTTTTCATAATAACGTAATGGAGGGAAGAAAAGAAAGAATGTAATGAAGAACACATATCCTTGAATGATCAGTGAATGATGAGTGGATGCACATGGGATAGTTATTTGGGTTGACACTGTGCCCATGGAACCAGTTTCCTCAAAGCATCCTTGAGGTCCTTGTTCCTCAAGCTGTAGATGAGAAGGTTGACTCTGAGAGGCACCACTGCATACAGAAGAGACAACACCAGATCCAGATCTGGGAATGAGATGGAGTGGAGCTTCAGGTAGGCAAACACAAGAGTGCTGACAAACAAGACAACCACTGCCAGGTGAGGGATGCACATGGTAAAGCGTTTGCACTGGCCCTGCTCTGAGTGGGTCTTCAACACAGCTGTGAAGATCTGTGCATATGACAGCACAATGAAAATGAAACACCCAAAGATTCAACAGGCGCTAACCACAACAACCCCAGCTTCCCTGAGGTAAGTGTCTGAGCAGGAGAGCTTGAGGATCTGGAGAACTTCACAGAAGAACTGCTGCACTTGCCTTGGCAGAGTGGTTGTGGTAGTGAAAATGTGTTTCCAGTGTGCAGGGCAGCATAGAGAAAGCTTCTGCTCCAGGCAGCTGCTGCCATTTTGATGCAAGCCCTGCTGCCCATGAGGGTCCCATAGTGCGGGGGTCTGCAGATGGCAACAAAACAATTGTAGATCATGACAGTGAGAAGAAAATACTCTGCAAGTAAAAAGACAAGCAGAAAGACCTGGGGAACACATCCTGAGTAGGATATGGCCCTGGTGTCCCACAGAGCATTTGCCATGGATTGGGGGACAGTGGTGGAGATGGAGCCAATGTCGAGGATGAAGAGGTTGAGGAAGAGGAGGTACACGGGGGTATGCAGGTGGTGGTCGCAGGCTACAGCTGTGATGACGAGGCCATTGCCCAGGAGGGCAGCCAGGTAGATGCCCAGGAACAGCACAAAGTTCAGGAGCTGCATCTGCCATGCCTCTGTGAATGACAGGAGGAGGAACTCATTGAGGGATGCGCTGTCGGACATTTGCTGCTTTAAGGCATGGGGAACTGTCCAAAGAAGAAAGGAAATGGAGAAGTAAGGATAGATTTTTCAAGAATAAAAAAGAAAAAAAAATAGAAGAAGAAAAAGAGAGAGAAGGAGCAGGAGAGGAAGAAGCATGGAGGAGGAGAAGGGGAGAGGCAAAGGGAGAGGGACAGCAAAGGAGGAATAAGTACAGAGGTGGGAAAGGGGGAGAGGTAAAGGGAGAGTGGGAGTAAGGGAGAAAGAAGCATGGAGGGGGGACAGGTAAACGGAGGGGGGCAGCTTGGGAGGAAGAAACATGAAGGGGAAAGAGGGAGAGGCAAAGGGAGAGATGGAGCAGGGGAGGAAGAAAAATGGAGGGGAGAAAGGGGGAGAGGTAAAGGGAGACAAGAAGCTGGGGCAGAAGAAGCACCAAAGAGGGAAGGGTGGCAAGGCAAAGGGAGAGGAGGAACGGGTGAGGAATAAGCACAGAGAGGGGAAAGGGGGACAGGTAAAGGGAAAGGGTGTGTGTGGGAGGAAGCAGCATGGAGAGAGACCAGGTGGGAAGGCAAAGGGAGAGGTGGGTCAGGTGAGGAAGAAGAAAGGAGCGCGGAAAGGCGGAAAGGCAAAGGGAGAAGTGGAGCAGCAGAGGATGGATCACGGAGGGGGAAGAGGGAGCTGTGACGGGAGCGGTAATGGGAGAGGTGACAGGAGCGGGAGAGGTGACAGGAGTAACGGGAGCAGTGACGGAAACGGGCGCGGGAGCAGTGACGGGAGTGGTATCGGGAGCGGTGGCGGGAGCGGTGATGGGAATGGGGAGCGGTGACGGGAGAGGCGCTGCGGGTGGGAAGCGCTCCCAGCGGCTCTGCGGTGGCGGAAGCGGGCGGTCGCCATGGCAACGCGGCAGCGTTGACCAGCGGGCACAGGCGGCAGGTGAAGAGGGAGGCCGGGAGCGTCCGGCGGGGCCGGCTCCTAGTTATGGGGCTGGGGCCGGGCTATGGGGCTGAGCCGTGGGGCTGGGGCCTGGCAACGGGGTCAGGACTCTGCCATGGGACCGGGCTTTGGGGCCACAGCTGCTAATGGGGCTTTAGGCTGTGGGACTGAGATGTGGGGCTTGAGCCTGGCTATGGGGCTGGCTTAGGCTGTGGGACTGAGTTGTGAGGCCAGGGTATGGCTGTGGGGCTGGATTATGGGGTCAGAGCTATGCTGGGGAGCTGAGCTGTGGGGCCAGCCCCAGGCATGGCCATGGGGCTGATTTAAGCTCCAGGGCTGAGGGCTGGGGCCTGGGCATGGCTATGGGGCTGTGCTGTGGGGTCAGGGTTATGCTGGGGGGGCCCAAGCCTGCCTATGGGGCTGCGTTTTAGGTTGTGGGGCTGAGCTGTGAGGCAAGCGCTTGGTTATAGGGCAGGATTACAGGGTCAGGGCTATGCTGTGGAGTCAAGCTGTGGGGCCAGGACCTGTCTATGCCATTGGGTTTAGACCGCGGGGCTGAGCTGTGAGGCCATGGTATAGCTATGGGGCTGGGCTGCGCTGTGGGGCTGAGCTGAAGGGTTATGGCCTAGCTGTGGGGCAGAGTTTAGGCTGTGGGGCTGCTCTGTGGAGCTGAGGCTTGGCCGTGGGCCTGTGCTGCAGCGCTGAGGCTCGGCTGCAGGGTCAGGACCAGCCTGTGGGGCTGGGAGCAGCCTGTGGGCTCTTCCTGTGGGACAGGGCTGTGTTTTCAGGGCCGGAATGGGGCTATCTGGGGGTTCAGGACAAGTTTGGACTGTAGGGCTGGAGCTGACGTGGTCGCTGGGGCTGTGGGGCCGAGCGGGGGCTGCCCCACCACACTGTGGGGCTGCTTCCCCTCCCCGCCCCAACAATTCAGGCAGTTCGTGCTCAGATCACACCTAAACACCACGGGTCACCCGCTCACACTAACCATCCAATCCATATAGAAGCTGCTAGCGGGACACGGGCTCTTGCTTGGGAGAGTCCGGCTGTGGCTCCTGGCAGATGGTTTGGGTTTTGTTTTCAGCCTGCCCTGCTCCGATACTCAGTGCCCACTTCAGTGCGTTTCAGATCTCTCCAGAGGGCACGGGATTGCAGCGTGGAGCTTTCTGTGGTTGTTTTGTTGCCTTGGAGTTGGTTTGTTAGACGGGGTGAATGACCCTGCCCGTTCCCCGTCCCGTTGGCCCGTCCTAGGAGACTCGGACGAGTCCTGGCTGCAGGTTCACGTTGCTGCTGGTAGGAGCTCTGCTGGGCACAAGACAAACAGACGAACAAAGCAGTCAGGAGCTGGAGCCGGGGGCTCCTGGAGCAGTTTTGTCCCCCTGGGTTGTCAGGGCCCATGGCAACTGTGTCGTCTTTGCCAAGCGCTAACTTACTGATACTTCATTCCGCTAAAATGAGAGGTAGAGGAGGAAGAGTGTTAAATAACACATCACTGGCAGAAGGCCTGAATGCATCTATTTTCCCAATCTTTCTTATTTGATGCAGGCAGGGGAGCTTGGGCAGAGGTATCCTGTCTGCAGGAACAGACAACTTGTGCATTTGCAAAAAAGCCTTATGAAGGTTATTCACAGACGAGGTTATTTTTTTGTGAAGAATGCTGAAAAGACAAAATAAACCATTCATTAATGGTAGGGGTGGTTCCTTTTTCTTATTTGTTTGCTTTGGGGTGATTAGCAGGTAGGTCTGGAAGTACCTTTTATAAATATTGGAAATGATCTCACACAAATTTCACTTTTTTTTTTTTTCCTTGACCAATTCTGCTACATAAGCAATAAAAGAAGGAAGAAGAAGTAAGTAACCCCTTCTTGATTTTCCAGGATATTCCAGGATATATATTTTCCAGGAAAAGTACAGTAGGCTTCTTTAATGGAAGGCTGCTATCAGTCTCTACCAGATAGAACAGTTTTTGATTGGTGGCAAAGTTAAAATAGGTTTCTCTATATTAATTGTTCAACCTCAAGGGTCTTTAAAGAAGAGATTAAAAAAAAAAAAAAAGATGTAGTCAGTCTTACACTGAAGTCCATGTTGGGAAGATTTTGCAATGCAGGAATAGCAGAAATGTCAGGTCTGTACTTCCTTCGAAGTTCACTCATGGGCCATTTCCACTAAGTTTCCAGTGTGCAAAAAATTTCTCTCTCAAAATCAGTCTTTAGACTGAAAAGACCGCAGCTTCCTTGTGCTCTAAATGATGAAACCTTAAATGATTTAATCTGTAACAAAACTAGCTAGATCTGCTGCTATTAGATAATACACAAGATA